AGCAGGAGTGCTATGGTAGCCACAGTATTTTGGATGTTGCTTTTGTTATTGTTTATGTGCCCTGACTTCCAAGGATGGGAGCGAGAGGAAGATAGCATACTGTCTCCATAGGAGTGACTGTTTGTACCTTAGAGATGCCTCATTGTCAGTAACAGACCAGGCTAAAGCCAGAAATATTTAAATGCTCATGGCTTCATGAAGACAGATGATATTTGTAGAAATCAGCATTTAGTCTTTATCATAAAAATTCCGATGACAATATTATGTTCCTAATTAATAAGAAATTGAGAACAGAATAGATCCTAAAATCAGCATTCTTAATTTTTGAAAGATTACACTAAGATATTTATAGGTAAGATATGAGTATCTCTGCACTACAACAGAAATAGTCTGTGACCAGTGATAAAGTTCACTCCTGAAAAAGTGTAACTCCTTGTCTACTTGCTGTTAGATTCTAAGAGAGGCTCACCGAACTCCACAAGCAACAAGTTCTCTTCCTGTCCATACTCCTCTCCTATCAAATTCTAACTGAGAATTTTCACCCTTTAAATCTTATTGAAATTCAATGGGTAGACCAGCATCAGTACAGCTTGTTGCATGTCTGAAGGATTGAGGGTGGAATACTATACATTATCCTAATGCCATAAAAATACACACACAACACAGAGGCATCACACACAACACACACACCGAACTCAAATACTACCTCTCCCCCCACAACACACATCACATACACCCCATACACACGTAGGCAGACAACAAACACCCCTCCCACAAGAACAAACTGCCATCTGCCTCTTCTGTTGGCTGTGTGCACTCTCCCCAGTCTGGCCCATATTGTGTGGCACTCTTTACTTTCCATGAAGTCTCTAAAACTTTTATACTGAAGTGAAGGCTGTTTGTAAGAGTTTCACTGACAGGAAAAGCCCTTGTACTCTATACACATTGCCTACCAAAATTCTCTATATAGAAATATACGATTTTGTTGTGCTCATTTCAACTCCTTCAGAGAAATCTCTTTTCTCATTAGTAACTTGGAGCTGTTCGGTTGAGTTGACCTTTCTCACAGGAAGTACTCCCCACCAGCTCACCACCACCACCGCCACCACAGTGCTACTAACTTTAGGAGTAGTTCTACGCGGGGCCAGACTCAGAAGCCACCAGAGTGAAGGGGGAGTAGCTACTCATTGCTCTTCTTCCCTTAACCATGCTGTGCAGAGGCAAGCTGAGCGTGCAGGTGCTCTGTGGACAGGCCTTGTTCTTTTCCTACAAGAAAAAGCTTGTACAGCAAAGTCATGGGCGAGCAGAGGGAAAATCTATTGGCAATGGAAGAGAAAAAATAAAATAGAATGAGTGATCTAAACATTCTCCAACATTAGGAAGTAGTCACAGCAAAAGCTGAAAAATCTCAAAACAAATTCTAATGAAGATAAGATGGAATAAGGAGATGGAAAATAAGGCAACTGAAAATCAATAGGAAGTGCTCTCGCAGTTGCTCAAAGTAGGGTTTGTGGAACCAAGTACAAAATCACATGTACTTAACCACCCATTTTCAAGTTATTCCTAACGGTATTGTAAGTCATTTCTGTGGAGTGGATTGAGATGCTTTGTCAGTGAAAGCCAAGTGTTATCCCCCTGTTTCTTAGGTTCAGTGATGATGTCACTTACAGATTGGGTAGCCTGCATAGTGGAACATAATTATCATAGAATAGTTTCACACATGACTGAACGTTTTAGAAAGACTTTTCCCATAACTTATTGCCTTTGTTTTCTGTGTTTGTGTATTTGATCACATCTCCACCATTGTTTGTCTTCCTCTCTTCCAACTCTTTGAGTTCTGCTGTACCTTTCTATTTATCACCTTTATTTCACTAGTTTTCCAGTAAATGATCTATAACCAAATTTCTGTTTCCTCCCACTCATTTCTTAACTCCATGGCAGTCTGGATCGCACCCCTCCTCCCCGCTCAAATGGAAACCACATTTAAAGGCCAAGTGTTTTCTTCACCTACACCTTCTTTTTAGTACATTCTTGGTGTTAAAATTATTTTTAAAAGACACACACACACATACATGCACGCACACACACATACACATGAGCACGCACACACACAAAATCCAGAATATATCTGTAGTAGATAATATTTTAAAGCAGTTCCCCCAATTTTCTAATTTTTTAATCAAACACCAAGTTCAGTGAAGTGAAGGATCGTTTTAGGCATAAACTAAGGTTATGAGTCAGTTGGCTTTAAAATACAGAAATGGTCTGGATTATCTTAGCGGAACCTGTCTAATTACTTGAGGACCTAAATTCTTAGACTTTTCCTGGCTAGAACAGATGGATGGAGGAGAAGGGAAGTACTGAAAAGAGGAAGCTCAACTCAGTTTCAAAGTCTGAGTGAGATTCAGGAGGCTCTTTCTGACTTAGAAAGGGACCATTGATGAGGAAATGCAGGCAGCTTTTAGAAGTGCAGAATGACCTTTGACTCACAGAGAGCAATGAGAACCAACCCAGTCCTACAACTACAAGGAAGGGATCTTTCCAACAAGCTTCCAGAAAGCCAGCACCAGTACCCTCTAGAGCCTCCACAAGATGCAGGTCTCAGCTTGGGAGACTCCAAGCAGAGAATCAGCAGAACCCTGCTGTTCTCAGATTTCTCACCCAAGAAATCTGTGCATTAGTAAATAGGGGTTGACTGAAGCCTCTCTGTGTGTAACAATTTGTTACAGCAGCAGCAGCAAACTAATACAGATTTCCAGAACTTTTTCTGAAATTCTATTTCTTCTACTGGAAATTACTTCATCTCACTGAACAACATGGACAGACTTCCATCTACATAAGACTGTTTGAGTTTGTGTATTTTATATGCACATATAGTGTATAGGCATCAATACATGCGTAACACCTGAAAAGTTCCACCTCTCTTCCTTCCTGCTAAGAGCTCGGGCTCTAGAAATGGACTTGATTTCTTGCTGTGTATCTTCTTCAGCCAAACTAGGGTGGTGATAATTGCCAGATCTTTCTCTCTTGTGATTTTGCATTTCCAACACATATCTGAACCTGAACAGACAAAATATTTGTTGGAATGGTGTGGGGCACCTCACAGAATGCTGGGGAAGCTAAACTGATCAAGAAACAAGGAAAGTAAAACCCGGAAGTCCCCAAGAGTGCCATCCCATGGGACACTCCACGCTGTGCCATAGGCCTTTCTCCTCCATTTCAGTCATCACCAGTCCTGTCGTCTATCTGACATCTTTATGTGCTTCTGGGGAATGCCAGTAATTAAGGGAGCTGTGATTAATAGCTGAGGAAATGGAGAAATGATCCAGCCTCATGTTGAAGGAGATGAAGAGTGGGAGGGACTCCAGGATAAAGAACCGCGGCACTCAAAGAGGAGGGAAAACAAGCTAGATGCAAACATCAGAAGTGGGGAAAGTCACCTAGACTCCCTGGTGATTTTTAAGTGCTTTTCTGTAGAGTGATGCGCTTCTCTTCTAAACCACGACGCAGGTGTTTGGGGCACCATCCGTGCTAAGGTCCATGAATGAGCTTCAGAAGTTTACAATCCTTGGCCACGTATGCAGTTTCTGAGTGCTTATTTATTTATTTATTTATTTATTTTGAGTGAGTGAGTTTGTACCTTTCATTAGATTCTCAAATAAGCCCATGATGCAAAAAAGTTTGTAGAATACTGCTGTCTGGCCATTCAAATCAAAACAAATCTGCTACCAGGAAATCAAGTGACCCCAAGGCAGACATAAAACATTAAATCTGAAAAGTCTGCATGTACTCAGGTACTTGCTCATCAAACAGTGTCAGAAAGCTACACAAAGTATGAGATCTGTTTGGAGCCAAACACTTAACAGTCAGCATCCAATGATCGTGGATTGAGAGGCTCGCTCTGGGGATTCCTTTGTGCCTAATTAAGTCAGTGACATAATAACAACATACATTACCTCCGTGCTTTTCATTTTTGCAGTATCTTGCTGTTTTTTTGTAGTTCTTAAAAGAAACCCCCTCAGTCTTCATGCTTAGGTATAGGATAACCAGAATGCCTGTTATCTGCCTGGTACTGATCACTGCTTGACAATATAAGGCTGTGTGAGTGGCTCAAGCTCTGATTTCTATATTTGCTTGAATGAGATCTGGTCACTTTCAGGGAAAAAAGAAAGGCTTACTCCTGCGACCTCCAGTATTTCTCAGCTCACTCGTCTGGTGGAGAAAAACTAAGCACACGCTCACATTCTACCTTTGTTTATAAATTATACATATCTAGATACCATACACTGGTTAAGGAAATGAAGCAAATAAAAGTTCCTACTGTCATGCAATGTGGAACCTTATGAAAGAAGACAGACCATAGGTAAAATAAACTGTACAGTAGTGTTGCAGCTGCTTAATGCAATAGAGAAAAATAAAGCAGGAGAGAACATCTAGGTGGACTCGAAGGGAGAATTGCACTTTTGCATAACCCCAGAGAGAGTGAGTGAAGACCTAGAGTATTAATGATTTGGTTCTTTGTAACCGTTTGACAAGGTGTCTGTGTTCACATATATTACATTAAATAGCACATAATTTGTTCATTTAGTTAACCAATATCAGTTCCAATATCTTCTTGTACCTTAAGCAATCATTTTAGAGATCAGTTACATGAGCAACTCTAATAAAATCCTCTGTCTTTGCTATTCTTATACTGCACCTTTCAGATCTAGCCTAATTACTAAGTCTGTGTGGCTGTTTTAGTGTCAGATATGAAGTCTTATAGTAAATTGCCTCTTTGGTTCAATACTGATTTGGTTCCCTGGGTAATTTTCCCATCATATGGTTTATGTAGCAATGAGTAAGTCTCCTAAATGTCTGAAGTCATTTTGTGTTTTTGTCTTGCTTTCAAGCAGGTGGTTGGGGACAATCTATGCAAAAAGCAGTAGTTGGACAGCTGGTAGTGAGCTACTCACAGGAAGTGGTAACTCACTGGATTTCCTCTCCTTTCAGTTAAGTTGTATTAGCACAGCATGAGCATTTCCCTTTTTACTGGAGGAGACAAGATTTGTTCCACGGCTTGGTGAAGCTTCAGAGGGAAAAAAGTTTGAGGACACTGATAGTTTCAAGATATTTTTGTGATTGAAATTTCAGCAACACAATGAGCTTCCGAGGGAAGGTTTTTAAACGGGAGCCCAGTGAATTCAGGAAGAAGAGACGGACAGTGAAGAGAGTAAATCCAGAAGAAATCCACAGATTTAGTTCTGTAGGTATCCAAATATCGCATATTGCTTTGTATCTTTTCTTCAGTACTTGCTTTGAAAAAGGGGTCAGCTCGAGAGTAGTTTTCTAACCTAAACTCCTGAGCAAAGTTTTGTATAAAAGAAAAAATTATGTTGGGCTCATAATTGTCCTGTTTTACTTGTATCATTATTTTGAAATCACATTATTTCCAAGCTACTTTTAGAACTACTGATAGAGGGTTTAAATAAGTATAACATTACTAGAATACTTGGAATATTTGTAAGTTTGTCTTAAACTATGGTACAAGTTGTTACTTCTGGAGCAGTTATTCTTTCGATTTTAAAAGCCTGTAATTGTAAAAAAGAAGGCCTCAGTTGATGATACACATATATATAGCTATGTTTTTTTTAAAATTGATGTTCTGGTTTCATCATATAATAATTTATTTTAACATTCTTAGAAAGGGCAATGTAAATATAAAAGAAAAAATAAGTAGCATAGCTCAGAAAGATGTATAAAAGTTGATAATTTTTGGTTTCAAAAGATTTGGTACTGTTTCACAGGTTCCAGTAATTCTGCCTTATTCTCTGCCAATGAAAAGAGGGCTCTGGAAATATGTACTTCTTAGAGGACTCTAGATTTTTGCCTGAGAGAACTACTAACAGTTGAATGTCAGAGCCAACTGCTAGAGCACTTCAGTGCCTCGTGTGTAATGTGGAAGGCTCACTTCATGGGACAAATGGCTACAGCGACATTAGTGGTAGCTCATTTTAGAAGACAGACCATATTTGCAGAATGGTTGAAGCTTTGTTGTTTTTCTTTATGGCGAGCTTTCTTACCCTAGCACCACTGTCATTTAGGATCTGAGAATTCTTTCTGTGTAGGAGTGTTCTGTGCATTGTAAGATATTTAGCAATATCTCTGGCATTGAATGCTAGAGGCAGCCTCTTCTCAATGGTGAGAAATAAAAAATCTCCAAACATCAAATGCTCACTTTGCTTAGTTGAAACCACATTTCAGGCTCTAAACAAAAATCATTTTGTAATATAAAAGTCTGTCATCTAGAAAGAGAAAGGGCTCATAAAATTATGTGTGCATCAAAGATAATTTATGAATTGTCATTTGTGAATATGAATAATCACTGAGCTCTTAACAGGCCAAAACCACGAACAAGAATACTGTCCTTGAGTTAATAGTGGTTGTCTTTATACTTATAGTTACCTGTTGATAATTTAATAATAGCAGGATTTATCAGAGGTCTGGCCAGTAGGATTGGTGTTGTGTTGTTTGTTCAGATTCTGTCTCAGAGCTGCACGTCTGCTGTTAGTGAACACACAATCAAGCCCGTCAGCCTTATTTCTGTGGATAGATGCAGCTTGGGTTTTTTGCCTACTGTGTCCCAACCAGAATGTAGTCCTGGATCCAAATTTTGTTCTCCATTTACCAGAAGTAGGAGTCCAGTTGTGATCCTTATGGCTCCATAAACACCTTACTAGTTGTTTACCTTCAGCCTATTAAAAAGTGCAGTTGTTTCAGAAATCGGCTTGTCTTGAGATCATTTTAATCTTTAAACCATTCCAAAGCATAATGTCCCTACTGCTTTTCTGTCATTGGAATTTGGGAGAACCATGGGTTTTGTCACCCTGAGACTCACTTTTTTGCCACCACTCAAAGGGACAACACGCAGGAGAAGGACATGTCTATCGTGTACACGCACCGCACATACAGGATTGGCAAAAGGACAGTCCCCAGTGTCTCACGGTATAATGAAGCTAATCGCTCTTTGAATTATCTTAATTGAATTTGAATGTATTGCTGCTAAGCACCATGGGAAAAGCAGCCAGTAAGGACACAATGTTTTCCCACAGCATTCAGTAGCAATGCATTCAAATTTAATTAAGATCATTCATGCAGTGATTAGCTTTCTTCTCTGGAAGGCACTGGGGACTTTCCTGCTACAGTTGCCTGTTTTTGGTCTCCCTTAGATAGGGATATCTCCTTGCACAGGTTGTCTCTTCTATTGAGTAGAGGATTGTTTCATCCATTCTTGAGTATTGTCCTAAGATGTGGTTTTCATTTTGGAAAACAGTTCAAGAAAGTGCAACAAGTAATTAACAGGCTAGATCTGAGACAGATGTCTTGAGGTCATCCCGTCTGACTCTCACACACTTCTGGATATTTCTTAAATCATTCTGAGCTGCAGTTTCCTCTTCTGAAAAAATATTGACAATAACCCCTGTTTGGTTTTAGGATTGCTTATTTGAATGAAATTGGATGATGTACCTTCTGAACATGCTTTAAGTGCTGTGAAAAGTGAAAAGTGCTGTGCAGTGTTATTAAAGCCAAATAAAAACGCTGCACTTCCATGGGCAAAGAAGAAGGGGACACGGCCCTAATTCTTTTCCATGACTACAGTGAAGGCGCCAGCCAGAGGATTTCATCCTGGGAGCCCCTCTGTTAACAGAGCCCCCCAGCAGACACACTTGTAGGCTGTGTCAAGCTTGGTGTTCCGGGTTCCCAGGTCCTTCCGGGTTGGTGAGGTTTGCCTCAAAAACAGCATGTTTTTTCTTCCCTTCCTCAGGCTCAATTTAGCAGATACCCACCCAAAGAGACAAGTTTCCACAGCACGTTCATCTAAGCTTTCTAAAACCAAACCAACATCACCACATCGGCTTTGAAATCTGCTCAGTAGATGGTTAGAGAAAAAAAAAGAATCAAGTCACAAAATTACCCAAAGATGGCCACAAGGCTTAAGGTAAAGTTAGAGAATAAAATAATAATTTCTTTTAAACTTTTGGAAATACTCAGATATTCTAGTGAAAGGAGAAATAATGATAGCTACAGATAATTACCACAGATTATCAGTTTTTGTAATGATCATGTGGTTTGTGAGCTCAACAAGCCCATTCTTGCTCTAAGGCAAATTTAGAAATTGCATAACTCCTAGTGAACTTGTATCCAAGCACAGAGAACCCCATGACTTCCTAAATGTGCCACCCAAGCCTTATGCTCTCTTGAGCTAGACTGACAGTTTTGTGCCCTCTGTTATCCTCAAGTGCTGTTTGAAGCTGTGTAGTTTACCATTGAAATTTTAATTGTATTGGAAGTTTCTACTGTTAATCCAATTTCCAAATGTATAGACCAAAAAATACCTTGATAGATTTTAATCCATTTATCACAGACAATATACAGCTTAGAGAGCACAATTGCGTTATGAGAAAAGTTAAAGGAAAATGAAACTTACTTGTTAGATCATCAAGTAGCACTACTTCCCTTTATCTCTGAAATAGGTATAGTGTCCTACGGTTGATGGCTTTCTCTTTAACTGCCTTTCTATTTTCGTTTTTTACCAGAATTATTTAATATTATCTCTGGTTCAAAACAAGTCAATAGAAAGATAATTTCCTTCCCAAATTTCATGTCCTAATTTAGAAAGATTAAATACATGACTATGTTCCGTTATTATGCCAATCTTCTGCACAGAAAAAAAGTGCAGAACTTTTAAAAATAAATGAGATTTGTTTTTAAGTTGTTACTGGTTTGTGAATCGTTAATTTGTAGGATAGTAAAGTATTTAGAAAACTTTTCATATGCATGAAAATTCTTTCTGTAGAAAGATGATCTAATCTGAATGCCTTTAACATATTTCCTGACTATATTGCCATGTGTTACACTGTATTACTGCCTTTCAGATGACTTTTTTATCCTCTATTCTTCCGTGTCCATATGAGCAACCTCCCTCTCTGCTCAGATGTGCTTCCTTACTGTCACTCTCTGTTGTTCACAGACAGCCAGAGGGGGTTGCCTGCTTAGGCCTTTGTAGAATAAGCCACCTGGTTAAAAGGAAGGACAGGATGGGCTCCCAGATGAAATAAGAGTCAATCTGAGTTGAAACACAGCAGCCAGCAGGAATGAAATTTATAGTGAATAGCTTGAAGAAAACAAAGAAGCAGGATTAGGAGAAGAGGGGGAGTTCTACCAGAATCACAGAAATGGAGAAGTGTGTATGCAACTTGATCTGGCCCAGGAATCTAGGGGAGCACATGTCAGAGGATTCTGGGTGTGGGCTGCAGCAGGGGCACCAGCTAGCTCAGGCACCAGAGAGCAGCAGAGGAGCTACACCCAGAGCGTGCTTGCGAGCGGGGCCTGCGTCTTGCGCAGGAATCACCTCACTTTCCCCAGAGTTAACTAAGGGAGGGAGGAGAGTGACAGCAGCAGAGGGGAGGAGAGAGCCACCTATCTGAGCAGGATGTGTGTCATGAGAAGGGAGTGTCACAGCATATAGGAACTAAGATCGGCTCCCAATAACTATTTATTTTTTGATGCTGGTATTGATGAAAAGTTTTTGATTTTAAAGACCCCCCTCAGTTGGTGGCAATTTCCAATGTGGATACTAACCCAAGGATTGTGAGCATTCATTATATGATTCCTAACAGGAAACAAGCACACAAACAAAGCTTTGTTGCTTTTTGTCCTTTCATAACCATCTTCTTTACCGATAGAGTAGAGGAGACCGTATAGGAGCCAGAGAGAGCTGAGTTAAAATACTTCCATTCAGACTTCTAGCCAAATCTTCAGAATCCAAGTTTCCTCACGTATCAACACACACACACACACTCACACACACACAGACATGCACACACACATATACACACCAAAATTATGATGATTTCATATAAGATTAATGGAGGTATTAAATAATAGATGTTAAAAGCATACCATAATTCTTGCCCTTGATCATTATGGCAGTGGTAAAAAATACCTATTATTAGCATTTATGTGTTATGCTATTTAAAATGCTGGTAACTATTGTTACTATTATTACATTTTTGGTGGGACTGTTATTTCCATGAGCAAACATGCATAAGTTATTTTAATATAACAGAGCAACTGTGACTTTTCAGTTTAAAATGTCAGACGTGGAGGTGACTTGGAGCTGGGAATGGCTTAGGGGTGCCTTGTTTGTTACACAGTGTAGGGATCTGCCACACTTTCAAGTTAAGAAAGCAACTTTATGGTGAG